GGTAAAATCCATTCCAGAAAATGATAATATAATTTTGTAATTGGATTATTAAGATTTTGAAGTATAAATTCTCCTATTTCAAAATTTAAAGCCGAAGAAGTTTTTGTTTTTCGTGAATTTTATCTTTTTCTTTCTATATCGTAAACGATATTATTAAAATATAAAGTTAACGCGTCCCACTGCTCTAGAAGCCTGGTAATTACAGCCGTTACTGAAAGCCATCGAGTCTTCACTGGACACAAAATTTTATGATTTTTCAGCTCTAAAAATTTTTGATATTGTTTAAATTCATGCTGCCGCTTAGAACTTGATGAAAAGTGATTATAAATTGAATGAAATAATTTTTCACAATCAAACGGTATTGCGTCACAAGCTTCACTGGCACAAAGGTGAAGCGAATGACAAATACATATCATGATGTAAATGTTAGGACAACTATCTTCAAATCTTGTTCTTACTRAATTATGTTTACCCATCATCGCATTACAACCGTCTGACCCGAAACCAATAATTTTATCAAAAGATACGGAGAAACGTTGAAAAGATTCCCGGACACAATTAAAAAGATGCTCTGCTGTAGCAGATACTTCTCTAGAATTGTCATTGAAAATTCTACATAACTCCCAAAAATGACTAGCTATTCGTCCTATAGATTCATCGTAATACCGTACGATAATACACAATGTTTGAGTCATTGAAATGTCAGTTGACTCATCTGTCAATACACTAAAATGAGTTTTTTGTAATTTACTAGCTAGTTCTTCTTTTTCAGCAAATTCGATTACGTTTTTAATAACACATGCGCTTTTAGAAGATTTTAATCGGACTTCCTTTATAATGTCACTATCAGGAAAACACTCCTTAAGTAACGGTGTTAAGTGATCCATAATCTTAAAAGGTACATTGTGTTCTGCAAATAAACTACACAATTTAATTTCTGCGCGGAAAACTTTATGATTCATTGAATCATTTCGAACTTCATTTGAAGCTGTTTCTATAAAATTAGACATTTTCGCTTGATTATTTAAACCTTTTAACATTATTAAATGAGACTTATTAGTCGCATGTTTGCGAATAACCGATAACTCCGCAGTGATTGTTGCTTTGCAGAGTGAGCATTGAGCTTTTAATTTATCAGAATGAGGCAGGAGCCACGAACAAAAATCCAGATTACTAAGCTACTCCTTACGGAACTTTCGTGGCCGCCGTGTGCTTTGTTTTTTTAATTGCGTAAGAGATGTGTTATCTGTCATTATAAATATAATCAATTAAAAATGCAAAAGAAATAACTTGAATAATTAAAGAAGAAATGTTACATAATATGTTTCCAAATTAATTTAAAGAATATGTTTAAAAAAAAACTCTTCTCTTCTAGCAGCAAAACTCAAACGTTCGTTATTACCTAGGTGTTGAGGAATTGAGTGGTCTAAATGAGAAGAACGCCGAGCAATTGCTGTGAGTGGTCAGATTTATTAAAATGCGTACGAGTACACCG